TGCATGTAAAAAGTGATGTGACATCGTAGGAGACCATGGTCTCATCTGGGTCCAGTTTTAGCCCCCTTAACTTGTTGGTGAAGTCCTGTGAGTTGGTTATGTGGTGTGTCCCCAACCAATGGTGAAAGGATGGAGGCCAGGTGTTTGGCGATGTTGTAAGTGACTGAGTTGATGCTGCTGATGATGGGTCTGAGTGGCGCTCCTTCCTTGTGGATTTTGGGGAGACCATAAATACCAGGAATGTCTTCGCCTGGATAAAGCCGGTGGTACAGGGGTCTGTCTATGGCTTTCCTTTCCAAGCTGTCCTTTTCCAGCTGTTGGAGGCAGCTGATGACCTTCTATTTGTAGCTGTTGGTGGGATCTTTCTTCAAGCATTCATATGTGGCTGAGTCACTGAGAAGAGTTTGGACTTTAGCTTGGTAGTCTGTTGTGTTTAAAACAACTGTGCACCTACCTTTGTCTGCTGGAAGGATGGTGATGTCTGGGTCTTTTTGGAGTGCTGCCAGTGCTTTCCTCTCAGGGAGGGACAGGTTTGAAGGGGGAGGTTTAGCACTGGAGAGTGCCGCAGTGACCTTCAACCTGAGCTGTTTGGCTTTTGTGGTGTTTAAACGGTTGTTTCTGATGGCTGTCTCGGTGGCTGTGATGAGGTCCACGGTGGGGATGTGTGCAGGAGCGACCACAAACTTGTATTGAAACAGTGGCAAACCAGCCACTAGGGTACACAAATCAGTGTTTTATAGTGCCGGTCCCAAGCCCACATAAATGGTGAGAGTTGCGTCAGTTGCGTAAAACTTTTAGCCAAATCAAATATGCGAATCACTAAAACAATTTCCATACCGGATCGGTCGAGGCCCGAGTTAACAATGACCGCCAACAGTGCCGTTGACCTATAGGGCACTGATGGAAATTGGGCTACTGTTGGTCAAAGACAGAGAAGAAGAGGAGGGCGTTTGGTTAGGAGAAAACGAGAAAAGAATAGGAATAGAAGTGTTGGTCTGAAGTTTGGAACTCTGATTGTAGGTACAATGACAGGGAAAAGTACAGAACTAGCTGATGTGATGGAGAGAAGAAGAGTAGACATTTTGTGTGTGCAGGAGACCAGGTTGAAGGGCAGCAAGGCTAGACTGTTTTAACTGTTTTATCATGGTTCAGATGGGA